AGACCCCAGGGCCCACGTGTCTGGTTTTTTATACCAAACCTGGCTGCTTAACTCCAACTTCAGGTCCCAGCAACCTTCTCTTTGGTGGTGACGGGATTTGTCTTTCCCAATGTCTTGATGGCTTTGGTTTGGAGTGGGGGTGGAGTCCACAAAGCCTGTATGGGATTAGCTCAGAACATCCTTTCCCCCTAACAAGACTAAAAACAATAGTGATACCACTACATGCTTATTAGAAGGCAAAGTCCCCCTAAAATGTGCAACTCCAAGTGCTGCCTGTAGCAACAGGACCTCTCATCACTGCTGGCAGGATAGGATGTCCCAGTCACTAGGGAGGGTCTGACATTACTTTTAAAGCCAAACAGCAAACAACCATACAGTCCAGCGAGCACTGTCCTTGCTATTTACCCAACTAATCTGAAAACTTATATTTGCAAAACAAACAAACAAACAGACAGACAAAACAAAGCCAAAAAATTCTGCATGGAAGTCACTGTGTCATTATCGACTTCCCATGGAAGTCCCATGGGATCTGCCCATGGGATCTTCCCATGGGATCTGCCCATAGTGACTGCCTTCCAGAACCAACAATAACTAAAGAAAAGAAAAAGAAATGTGGGGCCTCCCCTGGTGGGGCAGCGGTTGAGCGCTGGGCTGAGAAGTTGCCTGCAGCCCCTGCAGCACCAGTTCCATCCCCAGATGCCGGCAAGGGTCCCACCCACATGGCGCAGCAGACCTCTCCTGGCACACCTGCTGCTCCCCTCAGCAGTGTATTTCGTCAGTCTGCCTGTTCTGTGCCCTGCTCTGGCTCTGGTGAATTCTCTCACCCTCCTACGCTTCTGACTGTACCCAGTGCTTGTATAAGTAAATAAATAAATCTTTAAAAAAAAAGAAAAAGAAAAGTGGACATTTGTACACCTGATGTGCTGATGGAGAACGGCCTCAAAACGAGACCATTGGGCCTGAGCAGCTCTGCTCACAGGTGTCATCAGCAGAGGCAAGTTTGAGAAACTGTCAGCCAGAGGAACTAAGGAACTGTGGTTGGAACTTCATGTGGTGTCCTATGTGGGCTGTGGGAGCATGAAAAGAGCATTAGGAAAATTAAAGAAATCCAAATAATGTGTGGAGTTTAGTGAAAGTGCATCAATATTGCTTCCTTAGCTTGCAAATGCACTTTTTAACAGTTTGGAAATGATACGGGTTATATAGGAGCTCTGCTACCTTTGAAACTTTTCTGTAAATCTAACAGTATTTTTTAAAATGTTGTTGAGGACCTCCTGTGGTGGCACAGGCGGTTGAGCGCAGCTCTGTGAAGCTGTCCACAGCCTCTGCAGCGCCGGTTCAATGGCCATCGGTGCAGGAGGGTCCCACGTGGAGCGGCAGAACTCTCCTGTCTAGCCTGCTGCTCCCCTCGGCTGTGTATTTTGTCAGTCTGCCTGTTCTGCTCCCCGCTCTGTCTCTGGTGAATCCTTTCACCCTCCTGCGAATCTGGCCTGTACCCTGGCTCTTGTATAAATAAATGAATAAATCTTTAAACAAATAAAATAAAATAAAATGTTGTTTAAATTAAAATAACTTTTTTTTATTTGAGATTTATCCAGTCATGCACACAAGAGCTGGGGTACAGGCCAGAGATGCAGGGGGTGGGGGTGGGGGTGAGAGGATTCACCAGAGACAGAGCAGGGACTGAATAGGCAGATTGACTGAAATACACTGCTGAGGGGAGCAGCGGGTGAGACAGGAGAGGTCTGCTGCTCCCTGTGGGTTGCTCCCTGGCTGTGGGGGATCCAACTCGTGCTGCAGAGACTGAGGATTGCTTCATAGTGCGGTGCTTAAACCCTTGCGCCACCAGGGAGGCTCTAAAATAACATTTTAAAAATAGTTCTCAACAAAGTTATAGGTTGTAGAAGGAAAATTGATTAACTTCCCAGTTTTCCCAGATACTGCATTCAAAGGACTGGAGAGAGGAGTTCTGGGAAGAAAAGCTGGAAAACTCACACACAGGGCAGGCTCTGGAGTCGTCTCTCCTCTGAGCCCTGCTTCTCTGACGCCTCAAAGAGCATCTCACCCCAGGACGCCGCCCTCCTGGACCCCCAACTCTGCCCACCTCAGCCCCCGCCCCGTCCTGGCGGCGCCACCAGAATCCGGAACAGCGCGGCAGCGCCCCCGTGTGGCCACAGGGCTGAGCACAGGAGCCCAGAGCTGCCCTTTCTCCTGCTCAGCCAGGCCCTTCCCAGGGCTCCTTGAGCCCCCAGCGGCAGGACAAGGTCCACTTTCCGATTAGGGGTTCTCCAATTGACCACTAATGAGTAACTATCGGTATAGGTCTCTGGAAAGAGCCAGGTGTCTAGGTCATAACAGTCGCTCCCCCAGTTCTGGGTCCCCAGTTATACAGGTGCCCTCAATTTCTCTGGATGGGAACTTGGACTCCAGAGTCCCTGTAATCTGTTCCTGCTTCCAGGGATGAATGTGCCTCTTCTGAGCATCAGCCCCAAATTCTCCATCCCTAGGGCAAGGGGAGGGGCCAACTAACAGACTCTCAGGCTCTGTTCTAGACCTTCTGAGTCTTCGTGAGTGTCCAGGTGACTCCTGTGCTCACTGAAGGGGGGGCTCCCTGGTCTCCATGTCTTCTCCCTGCTCCTTTCTCTTGTGTAGTCATCACTTTCTGGGTGACCCTTACATGCTAAAGACTGCAAATATCATCAAAACCACATCACCTCCCAGATCTTTTTCTTACCTCAGACATTTCAATTGTGCCCCAGACTTATCTGTCCAATTGCCAACATCACTTTTATTTCTTATAGATTTTGATTCAACATTCCTAAATTGAATGCCTGGGATGCCCACATATGGTTCTTCTGGGGTCTTCCCCATGTCACTGAGGCTCCACCTCTCTGCCTGCACAGTCTGAAACACTGAGTGTCATCCTTGACCCCTTTCTCACATCCCAGCAGTAGGAAACACTGTAAAGTCCATGTCTACATGTCTACATACGCACAGTCCTATCACTTCCTATTATTTCCCTGCTCACCCCCAACAAAGCCACCAACCTCTCTGTCCTGGTACCAGCACTGGTTTCCTCCATTTCTCTTCCCACCTCTCACCCTTCCATGCTGCACAGCAGCCAGACTGAGGCAACAGAGACAAGTCCCACAGGTGTCTATCTGTTCAGAAGGTCTTGTCACCCCACATCTTACTAAGGGAGTCAAACCCTTCCAACATCCTCAGGCCTGAATGATTTGGGTGCACACAGATCCCATCTCAGTTGATTTCTGCTCCAGCCCTTGGTCTCCCTGCTCATGTCCATCACACAGACACATTCCTACTTGGGCATCTGCACTGGAGGTTGTCCTGCCTGGACTGAACTTCCCTGCACATCACATCCTTGTGGGCAATGTGTCCATCAGGCTTTTTCTCAAAGGTCACTTCACTGAGACCCACACTGACCATGATGGGAAGAAAACCATCCTGTCGCCTTCCCACATCCCTTACCCACTTCTAACCAGACATGCGTGGCTTACTGTCTGGTCTACTGTCACACAGTCCCCAGTCTCCCCTCCCCACTAGGCCACACTCTCCACAGGGTGCAAGTTGTGCATGTTTTGAGTTCATTGAGGTTTCCTATTAGCATAAACAGTCAGGTGTATTTCTTTTGAAAAGAAGATTCTAGGGCCTCCCCGGTGGTGCAGCGGTTGAGCGCTGGGTTGCGAAGCTACCCGCAGCCTCTGCAGCACTGGTTCGATCCCCGGCCACCGGGCGAGGGTCCCACATGGCGCGCAGACCTCTCCTGCCGCTGGCTGCTCCCCTTAGCAGTGTACTTCGTCTGTCTGTTCTGCTCTCCGCTCTGTCTCTGGTAAATTCTCTCATCTGCCCGCACTTCTGACTGTACCCAGTGCTTGTATAAATAAATTAATAAATCTTAAAAAAAAAGAGAGAGAAAAAAGAAAAGAAGATTCTAGTTTTTTTTTTTTTTTTAAGATTGATTTATTTGTGGCTAGAAGAACTATTGTGTAGGTCAGAAATGGGTGGGTGGGATTGGTGAGAGGATTTATCAGCGACAGAGTTGGGAGAAGAATTGGAGGATTTACTGAAATATAAGGGGAGCAGCAGGTGAAACAGGAGAGGTCTGCTCGGCCACATGTGGGTTAGCTACCCAGCTAGGGATTGAACTCAGGGTATGGAGGTGATAGTGCTGAGACTTAACTCCTGGGCCATCAGGGAGGCCCGGGTTCTTAGGCTTATAGGCCTTATTTTTCAGCCAACTATGAAGGTAACTGACTCCATCAACCCATGGGTCTTGATTAGCACCAGCACTGGGGTTACTACAGTTAAGGGCGGGGTACTACAGTTAAGGGCAGGGTTACAGAGAGAAGCTGTAGAGAAAAATAGAAACCTATCAGGAACTTATTTAAATCCATCAGGGAATTGTCAAATCCTCCTCTCTAGCAATAGCAGGATTTTGTCAGAAAAGGTGGAAATAATAATCCATAAAACATTCCTAAAATGAGCCCAAAAGTTAGAGGAGTCTGGAAATTCATCTCACCAGACTCCTGTACAGGGGACACCCTGCACCTTGTGGGGACAGTAACAGGTGCTCCTGCTGCTGTCAGAGACAAGGACCAAGAGAACATAAGGCCTGGTCTCTAAACATCAAGGAGAACAGGCAAAAAGAAAAAAAAAACCCAAAGTAGGAAATAGGAATCCATAGAAAGGCTAGACCCTGAGCTGAGCCTGGGCTGACCCGGCCACACAAGCACTCCCTGCCCAGACATGGCAGCACAAGGCCAGGTGGGGTATGACCCTGTGTAACAGGCCCTGCTGGAACAGGTGCTCCTGAAGGACAAGGACAAGAACAAGGAGCAGAGTTGACCCGAGGAGTGACCACGTCAAAGCCCCCGATGCACTGAGCACTGACTGGACACAGGCCCTGTCCCCTCAGCTCCTCACAGCCTCTCCCGCCCCCACCTGCACAGACTCAGCATAGCAAACACATCATTCTGGAAGGCTTCCCATTTATTTCATCTCAAATTTTAGGAATCATTTTTATTAGCCCATCAAACCCACTGGCCAAGCTTACAAACAGAAATTTTAGAACTTGATTATCATTTCAAGAGGGAAGTAGTTACTATTCTTGAGGAAACACAAAGATAGGTAGACACAGGCTAAGCTGCCTCTGCTGGAATAGGAAAGTCATCAAAGAAAAACAATGGTCAGTGTGGGGAAGGGCCTGGTGGGCAGGGCTGGGCCAGTCTCCCCAACTCCTCACATTGTCTAGTAAGAACAGAGACACATTCCGATGCCTTTTGCAGCAAAGGAAACCAGCAGACCTTGAAGTTACAAAGTGGGGGTGAGAAGAAATCCTGCATCACTCAGTCCACACAAAGTAGCTGGCTGAGACTGTGAAGGAAAAGGATCACAAAAAATGCAAAAAAATACATTAAGTGTCCACATTGTCAATAGCCCACTGCATCCTCAGAATGTCCCCCTCACAGCTTCCCCACATCCTGGTCCCATCCTCTCTGGCCCAGCCCCTCCCACCACAGGCCTCCAGGGCCTCACCTTTAGCAGCTGTGAGAGACACATCAGAGCCCTGGGCACTGTCGCTGCCTAGGGGAGAACAAAACAGAATCTGGTCAGAGCGACAGAGAGAAGAGACCACAGAGGGGACTGATAAGGGTGACTCCCCCAGGGGTTCCATCTACACTGCCCAGGGGCTCATGGACCAACCCCTGATCCACACTGACCTGCAGCCTGAGTGTAGCTTCCTCCTTTTTTTCCTGTGAGAAGAAACATCATGTGAGACCAGGAAGGAGTCAGGCCATGAAGTCCTAAGGGAATCCCCAAGTCTGGACCACAGGGAAGTTTCCAGAACTATAACTGGACACTTAGGGCAAGACCAGGAAATATGAAGAAAGGCGATGAGAGGGGAATGGACCAAAACTGCCTCCTGGGTCTGCCCTCAGCAGGGACCTTCCCTTCTGCCATTTTCTGGAATCAGGGCCACATCACCAGCATTATCAAGGTGAACAATTTGATTCATTTTCAAAAATGCTTTACAAAAGAGGGTTGTCAATTAGCTACAGACTGGGGAACACAGGTAGAGCACGTTCTATCTGTAGCCTGAAAGTTGTCCTAGTGGACAAGATCCCCCACTCCCTTCCTTACCTCAGCGCTTCTTCCTCCACATCACAGCTGCAGCCACCGCAGCTCCAAGGAGAACCAGGCCAGCAATGATGCCCGCGGTGGGGACAGAGGACTGAGGAGGTGGCACTGGAAGGGAAGAGAAGGTGCGACTCTGAGCCCCAGGCCGTTATCTGATGCTCTGAAGGTCTCCAGAAGGGCTCCTGATGCCCCTGAGAAGCTCTGAGCCCACATTCCCTCCTTACCCCAAGTCAGGACTTGGGGCTCCAGCAGCCCCTCATGCTGCACAAGGCACGTGTATCTCTGCTCCTCTCCAGAAGGCACTTCCACAGCTGCCCACTTCTGGAAGGTTCCATCACCCCCAGGCCTGGTCTCCACCAGCTCCGTTTCCTGGGCCAGGTCCTCCCCATCTCGCTGCCAGGTCAGGGTGATGTCCGCAGGGTAGAAGCCCAGGGCCCAGCATCTCAGGGTGACTTCATGCTCAGAGGTGGGGTGGTGGGTCATGTGTGTCTTTGGGGCATCTGAGGAGAAGGGTGAGAACTTACACACTTTGGTTTTTCCCTCATGGACCTGAAAAAGTCTGTGACCATCCTCAGAATGGACAGGGCAGTGGGGTTAGAAGAGGAAGCACAAAACCTAGAAACAAGCCTGGTCTGGGATAATCTCTTATTCCTTAGATCTAGAATTAGGGCAACAGGCTCTGAATAGAAGGAGGCAGTTCTCTAAGAAGAAGAGCACAGACTTTTGGGGACAGACCTAGTCACTCAGAAAAGCAGGAGTCAGATTCCCTGCTCTGTCTCTGGTGAATCCTTTTGTCCTCCACACCTCTGGCCTGTACCCCAGTTCTTGTATGTATAAATAAATAAATCTTTAAAAAAGAAAAGAAAAGAAAAGAAAAATGTCCTCTGACCAATAACAAGACCCTGAGAGAAACACTGATGGTTCCCATGAGGGCTGCCGGGTCAAAAGGATCTGTGAACGGAGATTTCAGAGCAGGTCTCCCCTCTGGCTTTTTTCCTCATGGACTGAAAAAGCCTCTGTGACCATCCTCAGAATGGACAGGGCAGTGGGTTTGGAAAGAGGAAGCACAAAATCTAGAAACCAGCCTGGTCTGGGGAGTCTGGGATAATCCTGGGGACTCAGAAAATAGGAGTCAGAAGAGAAAATGTCCTCCGACCAATAACAAGACCCTGAGGGAGAAACTGATGGTTCCCAAGAGGGCTGACGGGTCAAAAGGATCAGTGAAGGGAGATTCCAGGGCTGGTCTCCCCTCAGGTTCAGGAGACACTGGATCCCTTAACTGTTCTGAGGAAAAGTGGGGTCCTCTGGGGAGTCAGGAAACCCAGGGGGCTCCTCCTCCCCTGACCAGAGAGGGGGCGCTGCTGTGACCCTGACGCCACCCTCCCCGCGGTGCCGGCCTGAGGGGGGTTGGGAGACCTCGCGGCCCCTCTTACCTGAGCGCTGCAGCGTCTCCTTCCCGCGCTCCAGGAATCTGCGCAGCGACTCCACGCATAGGCCCTGCAGGTAGTTCCTGACGCGCTTTGTCCAACCTTCCTCCTCCCACTTGCGCCGGGAGATCTGCGCGGCCGTGTCCGCCGCGGTCCAGGAGCGCAGGTCCCCGTTCAGGGCCAGGTAATCGGCGCCGTCGTAGGCGTACTGCTTATACCCGCCGAGGCGGCCTTTGGGTCCCACGTCGCAGCCAAACATCTGCTGGAGGGTGTGAGAGCCTGTCCCCGCCCCGTCACCCCGCGTCACCCCGCGGTCACCCCGCCCGCCCCCGCCGGGAATAAACCGAAACCGACGCGGGAACCCCGCGGGAAAAGTCCCGGGGCTCGTCCCGGGTCGAGGGTCCGGCGGGTCCCCCTGCCTCGGGGGACGCTCGGGCCGGGGTCTGGGGTCCCGCCCGCCCGCGGGGGTGGGGTCGTGAGCGCCCCGGGCCCGCCCCGCTCACCGTCCTCGCTCTGGTTGTAGTAGCCGCGCAGGGTGAGCAGGTTGTCCCGGTACACTGCTACTTTGTTCCTGAGGATCCGCGTGTCCCCTTCCCAGTACTCCGGCCCCTCCTGCTCCGCCCAGGGCGCCCGCGGCTCCATCCTCTGGCCCGGGGAGTCGCTGTCGAACCCCACGAACTGCGTGTCGTCCACGTACCCCACGGCGATGAAGCGGGGCTCCCCGAGGCCAGGCCGGGACATCGCGGTGTAGAAATACCTCAGGGAGTGGGAGCCTGGGGGCGGGAGGGAGACCCGGGCTGGGGAGACGGGGCGGGAGGGGAGGGGTGCGAGGGGGCTCCTGAGATTGATAAGGGGCTGGGGGACGTGAAGCATGAGACTCAGGTACCATGAGGAGGAGGGGCTGGGAGGGACAGAGGGACCAGGGCAGGTTGGGGTCATGGGGGACAACAGGGCCAGCGGTGGTGTGGACCGGCTTTTCCAGGGGTCCTGTGCCCCACACCCCAACCCCGGGGTTCCACAAGTTCCTCCCTCCTCTGAGGCCTTTTCCCTCCCGAGCCCGCACTCACCAGCCCAGGTCTCCTTCAGGGCCAGGACCCCTAAGAGCAGCAGCAGGAAGGTTGGGGGCCTCATGACCAGAGCTCTTGGGTCTGGGGAGATTCTGAGTCCCGGAGGGTAGGTGGAGACTTTGCAATTGGATCCCCCGGGATGCTAATTGGCTGCTCTGGAGACCTCCAGGCAATGGGGAGTGAGATCTGGGGTGAGTCATCAGTATCCAGGAAGGAGGGCCCCGACACAGGTTGTGAGAAGTGAAACTGGGGAGATGGTGAATCTCCAACAGGCACCTTCCCCGCCCCAGACATGGCTCAGAGGGCTGAGACTCTAAGAACACCAGGGGACCTGGGACTTTGCCTGCTCCCTCTTCTCCTGCACCAACACCTTTGTCACAGGATCTCTGCAGAGTTTTTTTTTTTTTTTTTTAACATTAAGTTGTACACGAACTGGGGTACAGGGCAGAGGTGTGGGAGGTGACAGCATTCACCAGAGAGAGTGGGGAACAGAATCCGCAGTTAGACCAAAGTACACTGCTGAGAGGAGCTGCTGGTGAGTTAGGCGAGGTCTGCTGTGCCATGTAGGTAGCTCCGTGGCCTGGGATTGAATTCACACTACAGAGGCTGCGGACAGCTTCACAGCGCTGTGCTCAACCCCTTGCACCACCAGGGAGGCCCCAAAGAGTGGTACATTTTGATGAATAACTAAAATTATACGATAAACTGACCAAAAAAATGCACACAATACATGCTGAGCTAATCATAATTATAATGTTATTATGTTGGGAGGACGAGGTTGTGTGAAAGAAGAGTCAATTCAGTGAAGATGAGACATAAAACTCAAAAACAAGGAGTACAATTAGCCTTATATTGGAGACACAGAAGTAACAAATAGTGAATGCGTTAAAAAGAAAAGCAGCTTGTCTGAATCCCTGTGTTTACAGCAGCACTATTTACAATAGCTAAGCTTTGGAAACAACCCAAATGCCCAAAAATAGATGACTGGATCAAGAAGATGTGGTACATACACACAATGGAATATTACTCAGTAATCAAAAAAGATAAACACATGCAGTTCGCAGCAACATGGAAGGAGCTAGAAGGGATTATGCTCAGTGAAATAAGCCAGAAAGAAAAAGAAAAATATCGGATGGTCTCACTCATAGCAGGAATTTAGAAAACCTAAATAAGGGACCAGGAAAAAGACTAATTAATACAAAGTAAAAATCAAAATCAACAAGTAACTATAAACCAGAGACATACTGGGCGGGCGTGGGGGGAGGGGCGGGGAGAGGAAGGATTAGGGTCAAAATAAGGGGGTGGGTGCAACTGTATGGGGAATATAACCAAAATGAAAATGCCTACATAGTGCAAAAATGAAAAATGATGTAAGAATTATATAAAATAAAATATTTAAAAAAAAACAGGTTGTCCCTGAGATTCAGGAAGTGAGGCCCATAGAAGATGGAGACATCTGTCTCCCTAAAAAGCCTTGTAGAAGTGTGGACTTTTAAAACTATGTGCACATGTCTATTTGGAAAAAATTGAAAGACAGTCTAGCAGGTGAGAGAATGGGCTCACTGAGGATCTGACCCTACAGAGTGTCATAGACATGGGGTAGTAGAGGAGGAAGTCATGGGGTCATGGGGTCAGGTGGTGGATTTATGGGGGGGAGTTTGTACTGGTTTAATTATATTTTTGAATGGGAGCTATTACAGCATGTGTGTGTGGCAGAAAGCATGACCCACAGGAGAGTGGGATATGATGACCCAGGGGACAGAGAGGCCTGATCCTGCACCCAAGCTGAGGGGTGACCTTAGACAGGAGGGGACCTTCTACTATCACTGGGGTGAGGGCAGCGGATCCAGGTACAGGTGTGGGGGTGATGGTGCTGTTCTCACCTGAGTGCTTCATATTTTAAGGATGAAAAAAGAAATAAACTAATCATATAAGAGTCAAGGGAGGGGAGGTGATGAGGGGCTGAGTAGGGGGGAGGAAGTGAGAAGTAGCTCTCTCAGGAGGGGTAGGAGTGAGCTGACCTGGGAAATGGAGGTGACAGAACTGAGGCCACTGGGCTCTGTGCTGAGAGAGAGAGAGAGAGAGAGAGAGAGAGAGAGAGAGAGAGAGAGAGAGAGAGACTGACTCAAGTAGCAGCAGCAGGATCTACAACAGACAAGGAAAGAATGAAACAGTCTTTCCAAGTGTAAGGACTACAGTTATTTTTACTGTCCCACTTGTAACATTATATATATGTTTAAAGTTTTATTTTTATTCTTTATGCATGAGAGAACTGGGGTGCAGGCCAGAGGTGCCGGGGGTGAGAGAATTCACCAGAGACATAGTGGGGAACAGAAAGGCAGATCTACTGAAATACACTGCTGAGGGGAGCAGTGAGTGAGACAGGAGAGATCTGCTGCACCATGTGGGTAGCTCCTGGTCAGGGATGGAACTCAGCCCACAATGGTGATAGCACTGAGACTTAACCTCTATACCACCAGGGAGGCCCCACATTTTATATATATAAATATTTTTTTTACAATGGATGTACATTATAGCACATATATTCTACATTATACATATAAATCTAATCAGAGTAAAACATCTTTTCCTAAATTTTAAAAAGGAAGGAGAGTGTCTGTTGTCCCGCTCAGCGCAGAGCTGAAGGGCTGGGCTCTGAGTCTACTCTGGGCAGGGCCCTCACAGCCCTTCCTCCTCCTCAGGGTGCTGCTCTCGGTGGGGCCCACGCGGGGTCTCCCCTTTCTAAATGGGTGTGGCCATTTATTATTATATTGTAAGTTCTGATGCTTTTAAGAATGTGGCATTTTTAGCTATTTTCAGTGGGAAGGAGTGTCCGTCCATCCAGCCCAAATTTGTCAGGTGGAAATTCTAAGGCAAAACAGTTCAGTGACAAGATGGCAAGTCCTAGAATAGCAGGTCAGAGCCTGAGAACACGTGGCTGAGGAGATCTGGGGAGTGTTTCATAGTGTCAGGGATTGTCATCTAATTTGTTTTTGATAATAAATTATTTTGATAATAACTAATATTTGTTATTTATGACACACAGAGGGTTCATAAATGCTCAAGAACATACACAAATAAGTCATGTCATCCTCTAGTCAACCAAGTCTCCTCTGCTCTAACCTACTGCAGTCAGCAACTTCTCATTTCTCTTCTCATAGTCTGTGCATTTATGTTAGGTCAGGTTTGTAAAAGCTTGGGTCACAGACTGGGAGAAAGTATTTGCAAAACATGACTCGAGATATAATACATGTTTTAGAATATGCATGGAACCCTTCAAATTCAACAAGAACAAATAACATTTTAAAATTGAGCAAAACTCTGAACCATGTCCAAGGAAGCTATATTGATGGCTAGTAGGCATATGAACAGATACTCACCATCTGTAGGGTAAATGGCTTTCAGGCTTTTCTGCCCTCCCACCATTAGGATTCCCTGCCTGGAGGGGGTACCTGCAGTTGTGAGCTGTCTGTGGGCCATGGGAGGAGTGTTGAGATAGTCACCAAGAAGCAGCAGAAGCAGGAGAAGAAGCAGGTAAGACGTAGGAGAGAGAAGGGGAGAAAGAAAGCCAGAAGAGAGAGAAGCCCAGAGTGAAGACTTGCTGCCAGGCCTCCAGGCCCCCTGGCACCCCTGCCTGTACACATTACTTGGTTGCTGCACTACAGGTAAAGCTCAATAAAAGCCTCTTAAAGCCACCCAGGGCTCCAGGAGTCTCTTTTACCCATCTGCTTGAATCATAGAAAAGCTGCTCTGGGGCCTCCGTGGTGGTGCAGCGGTTGAGCACTGGGTTGCGAAGCTGCCCGCAGCCTCTGTAATGCCAGTTCGATCCCTGGCCACCAGCAAGGGTCCCATATGGTGCGCAGACCTCTCCTGCCATGCCCACTGCTTCCCTCGGCAGTGCATTTAGTCAATCTGCCTGTTCTGTTCCCCGCTCTGGCTCTGGTGAATTCTCTCACCCTCCCGCTTTTCTGACTGTACCCAGTGCTTGTATAAATAAATAAATAAAGCTTTAAAAAAAAAAAAGAAAAAACCTGCTCTGGTGCCCATCCTGCCCCTACACCATCATATGTTGAAAGACATATATAAATGCAAATGAAAATTAAAGCAACAAGGACATGCAACACACCTATAATTTGTCCTAAATCCAAACACTGGTGCAGCAGTCCCCCTTTATCCACATGGGATGTATTCCAGGACCCCCCACTGGATGCCTGAACCGCCAACAGTATGGAGCCCAGTATACACAAAGATTTCCCTGCACATACATACATATGATACCTTTACTTTATGAATTAGGCACCGTGTGATTAATAACAATTCATTTTAGTGTCTTTTGCTGTACAGAAACTTTTAGTTTGATGTAGTCAAAGCTGTTTCTCTTCTTTGTTTTCCTTGCTTCTGGAGAAGAGTCCTCAAAGATGTTTCTGAAGTTTATGCCACAGAGTGTTTTACCTATGTTTTCTTCTGTACATTTTATGGTTTCAGGTCTTACATTCAGGTCTCATCCATTTTGAGTTGATTTTTTTTTTTGTGTATGGTGTGAGGTAGTAGTCTAGTTTCATTCCTTGCATGTGGCAGTCCAGTTTTCCCAGCACCATTTATTTACGAGATTTTCCTTATTGCAGTGCATATTCTTTGTCCCTTTGTCATAGATTAGTTGACCATATATGCATTTTTTTTCTGGGCTTTCATATTTCGATTCCTTTTATCTGTGTGTCTGCTTTTGTTTTGATACTACACTTTTTATTATAATGCTTTGTAGTACAGTTTCGAGCCTGGGAGTGTAATGCCTCTATTCTCCACTCTTCTGGTAAGGAGAGCTTTTTTGCTATTGGGCTTTTTTGGTGGTTCCATATGAATTTCATCAATATTTGTTCCATTTCTTTGAAGAATGTCATTGAGATTTCTATTGGAATTGCATTGAACCTATAAATTGCTTTTGGTAGAGTGGCCACTTCGATGTCTTCTCATAATTACTTTATTTATTTTTGTTAATTAACTAATTTATTTTTTACATAATTGTTCATTTTTAAGCAATATTTGCTTCCCCCCACACCCTCAGGTGTAGTCCCCATAGAATTTCCTTCACCA